CACACCCTACGCCTCGGTAAGAAATTCCCGCTTCACAATGAACTTGACAAACTGTAAAAAATTAATCACAAAGGTGATGGTAACAAAAGGTTTCTTGGTACAACAAAAACCAGATTATATCAATTTTCAAATAAGAACTACAAAAATGTAGGAGTATGTGCTAACAAAAATTAAATAGGGGGTAGACAAGTACGAACAATACTTTTTTTTATTTGATCCCACATACGATTTAAAGTTTGAAATTGCCAAGGAATCTCATCATTAAATTAATAGAATATTTTTGTTATGTGAAGGGTTACTATAATTTTTGTATTTCAATTATTAACATAAGTTAGTAAACAATAGTTTATCAATAATATATGAAGGGCAAAAGTAAACAGGAAAGTGAAAAAGTCATAACGATTTCATAAAAATACCATTTCATATTTATAAGTTATATTGTTCTACATTTGCAAGCAAATACTACTTGATCGATAGCGGGTACAGCAACAAGACAGAATATCTAGCCTCGTACAAGGGGTATCGCTATCACCAAAATGTCCATCGCAACCGAATACCACAGAGCAAGTTCGAACGGTTTAACAAGGCACATTCGTCCTTGCGTAGTTGTATCGAACGGACATTTAGTGCTTGGAAGTCAAGGTGAGGGGCTTTGCGAAATATGCCAAAGATAAAATTTTCCGATCAAGTGCCCTTCGTATGTGCGTCAATGGATTTACATAATTTCATATGCCAGCACAATCAATTTGACACGATCATGTACAATCTCCTAGACAACGACAAGTATGTTACGTTGCAAATGCCCGACCACCCCAAATACACCCAAGTTGGTGATATCATGGAGCTAGGTGACTCAGATCCCCATATGACAATTGTAAGAGCGAATATTATATACTAGGGGTGTCCACGGTTTGGTTTGGGACAGTTTGCGGTTCGGTTTGAACCCGCCCGCATCTATGCGGTTTAGGAAAAAGTCAACCTGCAACCGCCCGCAATGCGGTTTGCGGTTTGTGCAGATAGGGTTCGCAGATGTGCGGGCGGTTGCGGACGGTTTGCGGATTGAACTTTTTTTAAAAAAGTTTATTTTTAAACCTTTTTTTTCTCCCATTTTGTCAATTTTAGTAAGAAGTAGAAATCATAATGGCCATAAACTATAAATGAGATCATTCATTCAACAAAATTTAATCTAGGAAGGACTGTGTGGTGACTAAGGTAGAATTAAACGAAAGAATGGATGATAACAAACTAAGCCATAGAACAACAACTGTGCCTTATATACATGTATGCTTGGATGTGTTTCACTGACCTAGTATCTATATATATGAAAACTTGTACTTTGAAATACTTTTTAGACAGACATTTCAAGATGAAAGGTGAAATTCCAATTCATTTGATAATGGAACACAGAATGCACAATGGCCTAAAGGAACACTTAAAGATCTTTCCAAACGTTAAAATCAGAACTAGAGTTACTATAATCAATTATTCTGTCTTGGCACCCGATGAAGAATGTACTCTGCTGAGGATCCATATTTATTAAAGCATGTGTCGTTCCATAAGGGTTGGTTGCTACAATGACCTCATTAGCTCCAATAGTTACCTCAGCATAACCTCTATCGATAGCATAATTCTCCAGCTGCAGATAATTAGTACGCTAAGACTGATGACTTGGTACAAAAGAATATCAGACAATGTAAGATGTAAGATGAAAGATATCTTCATTTAAATGTTCATATCCACACTTTTTTTATTACTATTATTTATTATTTACTTGAATGTTCTTGCTTCTAGTCATCACAAAACAAGAATATCAGGCATTATCAAGAGCTATTTTAGCCCCATGACATAGGATGGGGTATTTTAGCTTCTTAGTTAGGCCTGTTAATTCAAGAGAAATGCATAGCAATGTTTACAACAAAAGGGAAGTTAGCATCCAAAAAACATCATATAGAATTAATTTTTGCTCTCAATCTGGTTCTTAGAAGGACTGGAATCTGGAGAAAGATGTTGATTTATGCTTTTGTTCCTTTCTCTCACTCTTTCTAATAATCAAAAGGGTTATAATAACAGGCCTCTCTTGTTGTAATAGAAATCAAATCATTTTCCCAGAAGAAATCTACTAAACTTCCATGTTATACTGCATACTACCAAATAAATAAATAAATAATTAATTAATTAAAAGAAAGAGAAAAAGAAGAGCAATACATAACAACATTTGCACTTGAGAAGGGAACTGGAAGCATACCCTAACTATTGTTTTAGCCCCCCAAATAACAAACGTCTCATTACAGGTATAGTGTCTGTGGTTTCCCCTCAAAGTACCAAGTCGAATTTCTCCAAGGTGAAGTGAAGCACAATTCACAGCTCCCAAAAAAACAAAAAAATCCCATATTTTTCCTATTTCATTCCTCACCAAAAGTTGTGAGCTTTGGTGAGAAACAAACCGATTGAATACAAAGTTTTCATAATACTGAGATTCTTCTTCAAATTTAAAATACAAAAATCACTCATATCGGTCTTTCGCATACTCTACTTTCTTACCCATCTCTTTTTTTCTCACCAAGACGACCAACAGAACACAGATTCAACAACAAATTTAAACACAGATTCAATTCCAAAAATAAATAAATAAAAAACAGATCGAGAGATCTGTTTGCATATATTAAAGACAGATTCAATTTCCAGTTCTTAAATCTGTTAGTCCAAAAAAAAAATTAAATTTATTTCCAAGAAACACACAGATTCAATATGCAGATTCAAGTCCAAAAAAAATACAGATGCTAAACAAACAGAGTCAATACAGATTCAATTCAAAAAAAAAAAATCAATTCAAAAAAAAATACAGATACAATACAAACAGATTCAATAAAGATGAAAAAATACAGATTCAACGAGAGTGAGACGATCGGTGCGATGAGAGAATGAGTCGATCGGTGCGATGAGAGAGTGAGATGAAGATGATCGGTGCAGTGTAGAAGATGAACAACGAGAGTGAGAGAGACAATGATGAGATGAGATGAGAGAGTGAGGGAGACAGAATCGTGTTTTTGAGTTTGAGAGGTAGATAGATCATTAGGGTTTTTTTGTTTTGTTTGTTATAGATGAGGTGCGTCAGGTGAGATGAGATGAACGAACGGTTAGATTTGAAAGAGGGGAAAAAAAAATGTATTAATGCGGGCGGGTTCGGTGGGTGCGGTTCAAACCCGTAACCCGAAATTTATATAAAATCCAAATCGCACCCTACCCTAATGTGTTTGCGAAACCACAGAGTGAGGCTGATGAGATAAGAGAGTGAGGGAGACAGATCAGAGAGATATCTGATATATATATATATATATTGTAAAAAAAACTCAAAGATCGGGGCGAGAGAGAGAGAGACAGAGACTGAGAGAGAGAGAGAGAGGCTTACCTGTGAGTCGATCGGTGGTGCGATGAGAGAGTGAGTCGATCGGTGCGATGAGAGAGTGAGACGAAGATGATCGGTGCAGTGTAGAAGATGAACAACGAGAGTGAGAGAGACAGTGATGAGATGAGATGAGAGAGTGAGGGAGAGAGAATCGTGTTTTTGAGTTTGAGAGGTAGATAGATCATTAGGGTTTTTTTGTTTTGTTTGTTATAGATGAGGTGCGTCAGGTGAGATGAGATGAATGAACGGTCAGATTTGAAAGAGGGGAAAAAAAAATGTATTAATGCGGGCGGGTTCGGTGGGTGCGGTTCAAACCCGTAACCCGAAATTTATATAAAATCCAAATCGCACCCTACCCTAATGTGTTTGCGAAACCGCCCACATGCATGCGGTTCGGATCGGGTAGGGCGGTTTAGGCGGGTCGGATAACCCTATGCCCAACTCTATTATATACGCACTACAACAGCAAGCGTATGGTTAAGGCCGGCGCATTTGTTGCTGTGGTGGGTGTTATATTTGTTATATGTTGTGTAACACTGATGTATGTTGCTCAAAGTGATTGTATTATTATATATCATTAATTACAAGGAAATAATTTGTTGTACCAAAGTCACAACAACTACAACAAATATTGCAATAAATTGAAATTGCAAAAAACAATAATAAATTGTAATTGCAAAAATAATAATTACAAAAACAAATCTTAAAAAAAATAATAAATTGTAATTGAAAAAAAGAATTACAAAAAATTAAATGTTGTAATTGTATTTTTAAATTTGTTACATAATCAAAATAATTAGAAAGAAAAGAAAAGAAAAAAAAAACATTTGCGCAAGTGGGTGAAAAGAAAGAAAAAACAAAAAACATGACCTATCCCTGCCACCAGAAATGAAAGCAAAAAAAAAAAAATTATACACACACAATATATGTATATATATATCTTCTGAACTATAAATGAAAAAGAAAAATGCTTGGGAGCACTAATTAGTGCTCCCACTAATTAGGTGACAGTGGGTCCCGCCATTAATGATGTGATGTTTTGGTCTTGTAGTTTTTTTTTTTTTTTTTTTTTACTTTTTTAATGCATTAGTGCTATTAGTGGTGATGATTTTAGTGGGATGAATCATTGTTGAATGAAAAAACAATCCGTACTGGCTAAGCCGTTCGTCATTGTCAGTACGCATAGGGGACATAGGAGTAATACAATAATTTTGATATTTGTTTTAATATTAAAATGCACATATTTTCATAAAAAGTCAAAAAGTTATTTCAAACAATTATTTTTTTCCCTATTTTTTAGTCAAAAAGTGTACTTTTATGGATCATCTCAAACAACCCCATATATATGTAAAAGTTGTTAGAGTCTTAATTATATTTGCATGTGAAGTTTACCCTTTTATGTATTGATTTACTATTAATCGGTGATATCATATGTCAATAATAACGTAATGTCACTATTATATGAAATTTTTATTCAAATTTTGTAAAAATTTAATTTATCTTACCATTATAATAAAAATAATAAACAATATTTTTATAACTTTTTTACATTATCTATGATATACTAATTATACCTCCAATCCCTCAATCCACCCACAGGCTCTAAGAATTTTACAATGGCAATAATCTGAATTTTTCGTAGATGCCAAACTTGGCGCATTCTTCTGGGGGTTTTCTTTTTCAATCCTCTTAAGAGAGCTCACGTACGGCGGAGCTTGGTGGCCCTGATCCCCAGCTCCACCAGCCATCCGCTATCGCAGTGCGCCGATAACAGATTTATGTTTATGAAACAAAATTGGCAAAAAGCGACATAGTAAAGGTATTCTCTCTCTCTCTCTCTCTACCTTCCTATCTCACTCTTTGTGTGTTTCTCCCTCTGATTTTAGCCTTGTTTCCCTCTTTCCCCTCTCTTTTATCCTTTGATCTTGCTTTGTTCCCTGTAGTTTACTTTCTAGAGACCATGGATGTTATGTTTCTTGATTACTGCTGTGTTTGGTTGGGATTTGATGAGAGATTTGGAAAGAGAAATAAAAAAAAAAATTAATGTGAAATGTGATAAAATATAATTTCATACCCTTTTTCCCTTATTTTTTTTAAATCTCTCCCTAAATTCCTTAACCAAACACAGCTTAAGGTATAATGGGTTCGTTTGGTTTGAATTTCGGAAAAAATTTTGAGAAATTTTCTCTACAAATAAGTTTTTAAAAGTAATGAAACCAAACAAATTTTCCCAAAAAAATTTCTCAAAACTTGTAAACCAAACAAGTTTTCCAAACAAATCTCTCTCTCACACACATCAAATCAATCACTTTTTCCAAAACTCTCTCTCAAAATAATTTTCCAAAACATCTTTTGAAAAAAACCAAACAAACAACTTTTCGTACTTTTTATCTCTAAAACACATCTCTCAAACACAAACCAAACATACCCAATATTTCTAGTGTATAAATGGGGAATTTAGAGTGTCAAAGCCAGGGTTTTGTCTATCTTTTAGTTTGATAATCTACAGATTTTGAGTTTTTGCTTCTTGGACAATGTGGATGCTTTTTCTTTTTTTTTTTTTTCTTTTTTTTTTGATTTGACAGATTTTGAGTTTTTGCTTCTTGGACAATGTGGATGCCTTTTCTTTTTCTTTTTCTTTTTCTCTTTTTTTTTGATTTGTTGAGGATTTGTATAGTTGCTATCTGAAGATTCTTTTAAATGGATTAATGCTCTAGTCTTTATAATGCTAAATAGTGGTGGTGCAAATGCGATTTATAATTTTATATTAAAATTTGGGATACTTTTATATTAATTTTTTGGATGGGTTGATGAATGAGTAGAACTTTTTATCATTATATATTTGTTTTTTGAGGTTAAGATTTTATTCAAAGCACAAAACAAGTACGAAGAGCAAGGGTCAAAACCCAAACCCAAACTTACAGTCTAAAATTACAGGGAAAAAAACGACCCAGTAAACTAGCAATGCACTTGAAGGATCGAAGGAGAAACATCCGAATCCTAGCTCATTTGCCAATTAATAAAGGAGTTCTTCACATACCTCAAAGAACATAGCCTAGCTCTAATTTCTGTAATAGCCTAGGCAAGAATGACATCTGAATGATTGTCAACCTGCCTAAACACTCCCATTCCTTTCAACCCAGATTTGGTATACAACACAAGCTAATGATAGTCTATGGGCTATACTTTTAGGTAGCGTTTGGATTAGTGGAATGAAGTGGAATGGAATGATCATTCCATCAAAATCTTCATTCCCATGTTTGGTTAGACTAAAACAACAATTATCAAATGGAATCATCTTACGCCATTTTAAGGAGATGGTCATTCCATAAGAAAGCCTAAGGAACCACCATCCCATTCTATTCCTTCTCACTCCAATGAACCAAATAGAGTATTAAGAGAATGATTAGAGCAATTGATCAGCACAAGATACCTCTGCTGGACTGGTTAATACTCAAAAGTTGCTTCCAGATGCTCTGACCATATGCTCACTCAAAGAATAAATGATCATGACTTTCATTCGCTGCATTACACAGTAGACAGGAGGGATCTAGTTGCATACCCCATCTTAGCAATCTGTCTCTGGTAGATAATATTTGAAGACAAACCAACCAAAGAATGAAAGACCATTTTGGTATTGCTCTTTTAAACAAAATGATGTTATGCCATGAAGCAGTAGGTTTTTTAGCTCCTTTAACAATTTTGGGTAGTTATTAGATGTGATAATTATTGAATGCAGAGAGCATTTTTTGAAAAGCAAAAAATCATTTTTTGAAAAGCAAAAAATGTGATGGTGTTCACACCAAATAAGGTGTATGCTTTATATAATAAGACAGATGCCAACATTCACACCAAATGAGATGTAAGATTTATATAATAGAATAGAATAGATAGATAGATAGAATATATTGTTTTGAACATGTTTTGGAAAATTGTTCATTTTTGTTGTTTTGGGTGAACCGCCCAAGCACTGAGTCAAAACTGCTTGAACAAATCTACTGACCCGCTGGGCGAACCATGGTTTGGTGGTTGGTGAAAAAACTCAATCATCAATTGGTGGTTCGGTTGAGATTTCCTCTCCAAACCCACTCCACACCCACTCTTGCACCCCCTAATTGGATTGGTTCGGATTTTGATTGTTTTCTAATCGACTGGATTCGGATTATGCCAAATTTGATCTGAATCTGGTCTGCCAACAGGCCTAATTGAACACTCTTGCAAGAATTGTCCTCAGGTGCAAGGTTGTTGTGCCTATTCTTTCCAGCTTTTTACTGGGTTGGACCTTAAAAACCAGCAAATGTAAGAGCTAGCTAATTCTATTACTTTTTTAACATGTATAGCTACAAGTAAGGATCACAAGGCATTTGCTAATTCTTTTCCTTCTTGGGTATTGTAGTTTTATCAATTTTTTCCAAAACCAGTTGTTTGCAGAAGGAACAAGGATGAGAACACCAAGTATACACGGATCAAGCAGAAGAAGATCAGAAACATTAGTAGGTCAAAGAGTACTGAATTCCATTCAATCGTGTGGTTGATCAGCAAGTAGAATTTAGCGTGCAGTGAATTTAGCACCCATCATTCATTGCATTTTTGTGTGATGCGGGATTTGTAGTTTTATTTTTTGTTTTAATATTTGCAGTAGCCCATAAATACTAAGCTTATTGTTATTAGAAGACACCTTTGATATTAAGAATAATATTGAATTGTGAGTTTTGGCTATTGGATTTATTTATTTTTTATATTTTTATTTTTTCGTTGCTTGTTATTTTTCCTTTTATCATCTGCCATCAAGGACCTTACAAACTTACAACTCCTGACTTCAGCACAATCAAATCATTCACTCTAGTTTCAATAATAACAGCAGAAAGGGAAAAAAATACATTTCATATGGCGATTTGGCATGTCAAAGCCAAAGGTTAACTTCAACTGCATACTATATATATGCTACAAAACAATTTGTATGGCTATCTGTTGGAGAGTAAACTTGAATCCTCAAGTATATTCCAGAAGCAGCTTGAAAATGGTAGAAGACAACTGACCAGAAGTTTGAAGAAGATGATGAAGCTTCATGGAAGCTACCACCGACCATGAGCTGGAACCAGGTAAGAAGCTTAACACTTAAGCTATGGAATTCAACACGGTTTGTACACGTAAACAAAGCTATAAATAGATGATGATAGTTTGTTGTATAGATATCAATCACACAATCAAGAAACACATAAGAGGTTTGAGAGATAGAGAGGTGGGAGATAAAAACCCACAAAATTGTATTTGTTATTCTTTTGTTTGAAATAAAATTCATTCAATTGTTTGTGTGTGAGACTTCACAAATTCATACAAAATATATAGAAGCCCACCATCAATGGTAGAGCCTAGGAGGCCGAATTTTGCGAAAACATAGACAGAACAGAGCAATTTTCAGAATTGCCTGGAAATAAAATTTGTCAAAATCAACTTTTGATCATACCACGTTGAAGGTCTCATCGACACGATCACGTAGGAAAAAATCGCGTCAAAAACCGAGCACCGAGGACGCCGTACGCTCTCCACACGCCGAGAGATGCCACCACCACGTGCAGGTGACGCGCCTCACGCGCCCATGCGAATTCAGAGGAAGACAACATGTGAGGCTGATGTCTTACGCTTGACGTCAGCAAGTCCCATGCGCAGTTGAGCCCCGCCGCCGTACGAGCCGAGCGCCGACTAAGCTGTTGAAGTCATCTGACGTCAACCTGACACAAGGAATCTGGAGGTTTTATCCGCTACTTCGCGTGTTTTTTTTTCTAGTAGATCTGAATTGTTAGATTTATTTTGGCTAAATCTAAACCATCCGGAATTCAATTACAACGATCCAATAGTGTTTTCTAACTATTTGGAGCATCCCAGACTCATCCGTAGGGTCAGATTTTGGAAATTCAATTTTTAAAAATATTGAAGATTCAAGCAAGCTATCTGATGGCATCCACAAGAAACTTCTTCCAACCTCGGTTTCCGAAATTAGACAAAGGCAATTATGAGCATTGGAGTATACAGATGAGGGTACTCCTATCATCCTAAGATTTATGGGATTCGGTGGAGCACGGATATGATGAACTAGCATCCAAAGAAAATGAAGAAAATTTGACAGAAGCTCAGAAGACCTCACTTAAAGATTGAAAAACATAAGACAAGAAAGCCTTATATTTGATATATCAAAGCACAGATCCAACTATTTTTGAAAGATCTCCACTGCAAGCACATCAAAAGAAGCATGGGAAACTCTTTAAAAGGCAAACTGAGGAAATGAGAAAATCACAAGGATTCGACTCCAAGTCTTATTAGGAGAATTCGAATTATTGCAAATGAAAGACAACGAGTCAATTTCTGAATACTTTACCAGAACGTTGACTATTGTCAATCAAGCTAAAAGACTCGGTGACAAGATTGAAGAAATTCGAGTTATTGAAAAGATACTTAGATCACTTAGTTCGAAATTCGAACATGTGGTTGTTGCCCTTGAAGAATCAAAGGATTTTAACAACTTGACAATCGATGAATTGCAAGCATCGTTAGAAATTCACGAGGAAAGAATCAATAAGAAGATTGCATCAAGTTCCCTTGAGCAAGCACTCCAAACAAAGCTTTCGATAAAAGGAAGAAGGGAAACCTCAAATCAACGAGGAAGAGGAAGAGGAAGATATCCCCAGTACAATAGTACAAGACGTCCACAACAACATCGTCCACAACAACAACAGGATTATGGAGATTGCCGACCACCAACAATAAACAACCAAAGAGGTTGAGGAAGAGGTCGATACATAAGACCACAAAGGTTTGACAAATCTCAGATTCAATGTCATGTTTGTCAAAAATTTGGACATTATGCTACATAATGTTGGTATCGAAGTACCAAAAATGAAGAAAATGAAGTCAATTACGGTGAAGTTAAACAAGATTCTACCGTCCTACTGACATATAATGATAGTGGTGAAGCAAATCAGAACAGGTTGTGGTACCTTGATTCTGGTATCGACAATCATATGTGCGGTAAGAGAGAATTGTTCGCAACACTCGACGAAAGTCAGCAAGGCGAAGTCACCTTTGGAGATTCAACAAAGAGACCCATGAAAGGCAAAGAAACTATCGGCATTAAGTTGAAGAATGGAGAACAACAATATATCGACAATGTTTATTATGTGCCAGATTTAAAGAGTAATATTTTGAGTTTAGGTCAGTTATTCGAGAAAGGCTACAATATCCACACAAGAGAGTTGGGATTATCAATCTGCAATCAACACAACAGATTGATCACGCATGTAGACATGACCAAGAATCGCATGTTTCCTCTTATTTGCAAGCTAGCGATGCCATTCAATCCAATTGTTACAAGGCCAAAATCATAGATGACACTACATTGTGGTATCTTCGATTTGGTCACTTGAACTTTCAAGGATTGAACATTATGTCAAAGAAAAACATGATGATAGGGTTACCATGGATCAAGTTTCCGCTAAAGAAATGTGAAGGATATCTCATCGGCAAACAACACCGAAAGAGCTTTGGAGATGGAAAATAGAGCAACCCAATCTCTCCAGTTGGTCCACACAGATGTATATGGTCCAATACAACCCGTGACACTCAGTGGAAACATGTATTTTCTTACTTTCACTGATGATTTTACTGGGTAAGACATGGGTGTATATCATGAAAGACAAAAGTGAAGTTTTTCAAAAACTTAAGAAATTCAAATCCTTAGTTGAAAAACATAGTGGATATTTCATCAAGACGATGAGATTTGATTGTGGAGGAGAATATACCTCAAACGAATTCGAAAGATTTTGCAAAGAAAATGGGATTATTCATCAACATACTATCCCATATACACCTCAACAAAATGGTGTCTCAGAAAGAAAGAATAGAATGATCCTAAATATGATTCGTTGCATGATCAAAGAAAGAGCTATGCCAAAGGAGCTTTGGGGAGAAGCTGTTGTTTGTGTAGTATATTTGCTTAACCGCTTTCCAGCCAAGAGATTACTAGACAAGACCCCTGAAGAAGCGTGGAGCTTGAGAAAGCCAAAAGCTGATCGTTTGAGGATTTTTGGATGCATAACCTATGCAAAAATTCCAGACGAGAAAAGAACAAAGCTAGAAGATAAAGGCCAAAAATATGTTTTCATCGGCTATGGAGAAAGTGGATATGGACTTTATGATCCCATCACAAAGTATTCTATTCAAGAGATGTTGAATTTGGTGAAGCATTAAGCTGGAATTGTCAGAACCCAAGTCAAGAACTAGTCCCTATAATCCATAATGAAGATCCAGCTACTGGAATTGAAGTCTGCAGGCACCCGCATTCACCTCAAGGGGGGACGAGCAAGAATGAGTACCCAACAACTCAGTACACAACAAGAAAGTGCCAGCTTTTCACCAACAACAGAGAATATAGTAGGCAAGACTAGAACCATTCAAGATCTATATGATGTTACAAGAAGACTTGAAGATGATGAAGATTTCACAATGTTTTGTCTATTCTCTGGAAGTGATCCTATTCACTTTGAAGCAGCACAAAAAGAAGCCATATGGAGACAAGCCATGAATGAGGAAATCCAAGCCATAGAAAGAAACAACACTTGGGAACTTACATCTTTTCTAGAAGGACTCAAAGCAATTGGTGTCAAATGGGTGTATAAGACAAAAAGAAACGCTAAAGGAGATGTTGAAAAATACAAAGCAAGATTGGTCGTGAAAGGCTACAAGCAACAATATGGCATTGACTATGATGAAGTTTTTGCTCCAGTAGCTTGTCTTGAAACGGTATGACTTTTTATCTATTTGGCAGCCCAGAAGAAATGGAAGATATACCAAATGGATGTCAAATCATCATTCTTAAATGGTTATCCTGAAGAAGAAGTGTACGTTAAACAATCGTTAGGCTATGTGAAGCCAGCCCAACAAGATAAAGTATATAAGTTAAAGCGAGCGCTTTATGGCTTGAAACAAGAGCCACAAGCATGGAATGCAAGAATAACAAGTATTTTGTGACAAATGGGTTTGTTAAATGTCCTTATGAACATTCCCTCTTCTTCAAGACAAACAAGGGGGGAGATTTGCTATTTGTTTGTCTTTACGTCGATGATCTAATATTCACAGGCAACAATCTCGACATGATCCAAGATTTCAAAGCATCCATGATACAAGAATTCGAGATGATAGACATCGGACTCTTGGCATATTTCTTGGGCATAGAAGTCAATCAAAGTAGTGAAGGCATATTTGTATCACAAGGTAAGCATGCCAAAGAAATCATAAAGAAATTTGGCATGGAAAATTGTCAAGCCGTCGACACACTGACAGATGGAAGTAATAAGATGTCCAAGTATGATAAAGGAGATAAGGTTAATCCAACGTATTTCAAAAGTCTAGTTGGAAGCCTAAGATACCTCACAACCATGCGACCTGATATATTGCTTGCAGTAGGCTTAGTTAGTCGGCATATAGAGGAACCCAAAACGCCACATCTGATAGCAGCCAAAAGAATACTACAGTGTGTGAAAGGTACAATAGAGTACGGATTGTTTTACTCATTTACAGACGAATTCAAATTAGTAGGATACAGCGATAGTCTATGAAACATGGGTACTCCAAAAATGTTGCCGTACAAGTACCGGGTACGTACTAGGTACGGGTATGGGTATCGATACGACTGCACGCGTACCGGGTACGGCTAAAGGGGTTCG